ATTCAAAGCAAGGCCACTATCTCTACCATATGACCGCTATATGGCCGAGCAGAGACTGAAGACGCTCCAGAGGAAGTTGAGCCGCAACCCAGACCTTCATCGTTTCTACACAACCTTCGTGGAGGAGTTGATCGACAAGGGTTATGCCGAGAAGGTCGATGAAGCCAGGGATGATGGGAAGAAAGGGAGAATCTGGTTCCTGCCACATCACTCAGTATTTCACCCAAAGAAGCCAGAGATAGTGAGGATTGTGTTCGACTGTGCCGATGAGTATCGGGGCACTTCCCTCAATGACCAAGTGTTACAGGGGCCGGACCTCACCAATAGCTTACTGGGTGTGCTACTTCATTTTCGCCAAGAACCAGTTGCAGTGATGGCCGACATAGAGGCTATGTTCCATCAAGTGAGAGTCACTCTAGAAGATCGAGATGTTCTGCGATTCCTGTGGTGGCCTGGTGGGGACTTACAACAGGAACCAGCTGTGTATAACATGACGGTTCATATCTTCGGTGGTACCTGGAGTCCCAGTTGCTGTAACTTCGTTCTACAGCACACTGCCACAGTGAACCAGCCAGGGTGTGATCCAGACACCACAGAAACCGTCATGAAGAACTTCTATGTAGACGACTGCCTGAAGTCACTGCCTGATGTCGAATCTACAATAAAATTGGTTGGGCAGCTCAGAGAGCTGGTAGCCACTGGTGGATTCAAGCTGACAAAATGGATCAGCAATGACCGAGATGTGTTGGCGTGCATCCCTGAAGAGGATAGAGCCAAAGAAGTTAAGGGCTTGAATCTGAACCATGAAGCCCTACCTGTCGAGAGAGCCCTTGGTGTGTATTGGGATATAGAGTCAGACAGTTTCTGTTTCAAGATCACACCCAAGGACAAGCCGCTGACAAGACGAGGACTGCTAAGTGTGGTCAGTTCAGTATACGACCCACTAGGCTTTGCGAGTCCGTACACCTTGAAGGCGAAGATGATCATCCAAGACTTGAGTCGTCAGAAACTTGGCTGGGATGAGAAATTGCCAGACGGAGAGTTAGACAGATGGCTGAGTTGGAGAGATGACCTCCCGAAGATGGAGAACCTCAAGGCTCCCAGATGTGTGAAACTACTGGCAATGGAGAAGATAGCTGAATGCTGCATTCACTATTTCTCTGATGCTTCTCAAGCAGCATATGGTGTGACAGCTTACCTAAGAGTGGTAGACATGGAAGGCAAGATACAGTGTCACCTTCTACTGGCCAAGTCCCGTCTTGCTCCCATCAAGTCAGTGACCATACCCAGATTAGAACTGACGGCAGCGACACTCTCCATCAAATTAGACAACATGATTCGCCGAGATCTTGAGCTGCCAGTTGGAGAATCAGTGTTCTGGACTGACAGCATGACAGTCCTGAAGTACATCAACAATGATAACAAACGTTATCAGACATTCGTTGCCAACAAGGTTGCTACCATTCGAGATGGGTCGACACCGTCACAGTGGCGTTACGTAGACACAAAGTCTAACCCAGCCGATGAGGCATCCAGGGGTTTGTCAGCTAATGAACTACTANTATCTTGTCAGAAAGTAATCGACTTCTATACATGCTGAATTGTGAGCACACTGACCCCAGATTGGTCGTCTTACTGACGAATTACCTAACAACTATATACCTAACAACGCAGTTTTACCGTCGACACACACATCTCCGACTAGAGTGGCGCCGCCTTGGTGACCATACTCCGTGCTGAATTGATTAGCAGACATCGTTGGTGACCAACGTCGCTTTCCCAGCGCAAATAATTAATTAACTAAGCTACAACGATAAATTTTAACGCTATGACTATATGATCGAATTACATAACCCCCTACCCCCGGATCGCCGATGACGACGACCTACCTGGGGGTATCGAGACAGCCACAAATGTACATGATCGTTTAAAAACATCATGCAAATTTCCACGAAATAGTCGCTATCGATCTGCTATATTTACAATTCATCAATCATACGTTGTTTACGAACGATTACAAACCTAATGATACCGAATTTAATGGCGTCGCGGAAGCTAACACGCCACGGCGCACACTACACGAGGGATGAGCACGCACGGGGTTTCTCACGCATGCATGCACGCACGGACGGGTTTTCTCATGCATGCACGCACGGACGGGTTTTCTCATGCATGCACGCACGGACGGGTTTTCTCATGCGCGCACGGGTTTTCTTACGCACGCACGCGCGCACGGATTTTCTCACGCACGCACGCGCGCACAGGTTTTCGCGCCGCAAATCATACGGACGCTGATCGGTCAACATCTAAAATCAAATTAATTAAAAATCATATTACCTAATCATCATCATAGGATCTAATATCAATCTAAAATCAAAATCAAATCTAAATCAGGTGACTATCGCGAGCCGGCGACTACAGAGCAATGGTCGGGTGTAGATTACATAGAAAGTAGATTTATTTCAAGGGCCGCGTTTCCTGTCGCCATAGCAACAGTAGATGGTTCACTAACTAACTTCAATTACTTATCTGAGTTTATTTGACTAACGACTATAAAGGTGCGTTATATCTCATTTGGAACTTACTAGTAAATACATATATACTTACACATACATGCGCACGCCCACAAACACGCGCACGCACACACGCGTGCGCACACACATGTACACATATATACACGTAAACACGCACGCACAGACGCACGCGCACACTCGGGCGCACGTAGTACATAATACACATACATATATCTATGGTCTATATACACGCGCACACTCGCGCACACTCGGGCGCACGTAGTACATAATACACATACATATATCTATGGTATATATACACGCGCACACTCGCGCACACTCGGGCGTACGTTGTACATAATACACATACATATATCTATGGTATATATACACGCGCACACTCGCGCACACTCGGGCGTACGTTGTACATAATACACATACATATATCTATGGTATATAT